TTTTGCCAAAAAACAGAGTAAGGTCAGGGACCTGCACAGGAGATTCAATTTTGGGGAATGAAATGGCAAGATAGACGTCACCAGATCCCCACAGATGTGATCAACAAGATAACAGCAATGTCTCCACCAACTAACAAGAAAGAAACACAAGCTTTCTTAGGTGTTGTGGGGTTCTGGAGAATGCACATCCCAAATTATAGTGTGATTGTAAGCCCTCTCTATCACGTGACATGGAAGAAGAATGATTTCAAATAGGCCCCTGAGCAACAAGCCTTTGAACAAATTAAACAAAAAATAGTAAGCAGCTGGGCTTAAACGACGACATGGTATCAAGCCCTATCAGATTGCGTTTAATACTCTTTAGACAAAAATAGTAATAAACTTAACTATTAGTGTTGCAGACAAATACTGCAAGCTTGTTGGGTTTATTAGGAAAATTAGAGGCAAGTATTTCCACTGTGAAGTGGCTCATATGTCTCTAAACCCCTGATTTGCAGTGTTGGAGAAGAGAAGCTGCATGGTAACCTTACATCAGCCTTCCAGTATCTGAAGGGACTTAAAGGGTGCTGGAGAGGGACTCTTCATCAGGGATTGTAGCGACAGGACAAGGGGTAATGGGTTTAAATTTAAATGGGGGAAGTTCAGGTTAGATATGAGGAAGAAGTTCTTTATTGTGAGGGTGGTGAGGCACTGGAACAGGTTGCCCAAGAATGTTGTGAATGCTCTATCAGTGTTCAAGGCCAGGTTGGACAGAGCTTTGTGTGACACGGTCTAGGGTGAGGCATCCCTGCCCATGGCAGGGGTTTGGAACTAGATGATATTAAGGTCATTTGCAACCCTAACTGTTCTATGATTCTATGTACTAGGTTAGTTGAGCTTCCTGGCCTGTATTTGGAAGTGACTGATAATGGGACTAGACTATCTGCTGCCACTCCCAGGCTTTTCATAGCCTTCTAAGAGTCGTGATTGTTGCTCCCGTTTTCCCCTCCCCCAGGAATTTACCCAGTTGTTTGAACTGTTGTAACTGTCTGGTATCACCAATGTTTTGTGGCAAAGAGTTCTGGAGTTTTAACTTTGTATGAAGTAAAAAAATACTCGTCATTCAAATTTGCTCTCTGCCCGCTTAATTTGTTACAGTCCTGTGCTACTTTGTTACTGCAAGTAGTGGCCTGCAGGCTTAGAGTACTTCCATATCCTTATTCTGGAGGCTCAAAAAGTCTTCCTTGGCTGAATTGTGGTAATTGCTGAATGTAGCACAGGGTAAACACAGCAGTAATAATAGCCTCTTCTCTGCATCTTTTCATAGAATCATAGAATCTCAGGCTGGAAGGGATCTTGAGGATTATCTGATCCAACCTTTCTTGGCAAAAGCATGGTCTAGACAAGATGGTCAGCACCCTGTCCAGTCAAATCTTAAAAAGTGTGCAATGTTGGGGAATCCACCACTTCCCTGGGGAGATTATTCCAAAGCCTGATTTTCTCAGCGAAGTTTTGAACTTCATAAAGTTCTTGTTAGCCCATTCCAGCCTATCCAGGTCTTCCTGGAGGGTGGCTCTCCTTTCTGAAGTGTCCCCTTTCCACTCTCAGACTGGTATCTTTGGCAAACTTGGTCAGGGTGTGCTTGATCCCATCATCCAGATAATTTATGAAGATATTGAACAGTGTTGGGCCCAATATTGATCCCAGGAGAACCCCACTAGTGACAGGTCACCAGCTGGAAAAGGAGCTATTTGCCACTACCATCTGGGTGCAGCCTGTCAGCCAGGTCCCCGCCCACTGCGTAGATCATTTGTACAGACTGTAATGCATCCGTTTCTCTAGAAGGAGGCTGTGGGAAACTGTCAAAATTCCTGGAGAAGTCAAGGTAGACCATGTCGGCTGCTTGGCGCACATCAGTCAAGCATGTTGCATTGTCAAGCAGAAGGCTGTTGGGTTTGTTAAGGAAGAAGACTTAAGCGTAAGGTGTGTGTCAGTGGGGAGAAGTTGAGTTCTTTTCTATGAAAAATCTGGTTCTTCATCATTCCTTTTATTTCAGTGATTCAAAATGTCTTTAAAAAAAACAACATTTCAGCCTTGAGACTGCTTTTCTCCTCACATGAAGCACTGTATTAACTGATCAAGCGTTTGTGTTGTAATCAGTAGTGTATGAAGGAGTGTAAGCATTTTACTAAAATATGATAGATGATATTACTTAGTGGTTCTTCAGTTTTATTTCTATATAATACATATACTAGTTTGTTTCAGGATCAATGGGAAAACAAGAAAGTGACATGAAGAAGTGACTCTCTTCTTTTGTGTCTGTTCCAAGTTCTATGTTGGATGTTCAGAGTACATCAGTGGGACAGATCTCTGAACTTTAGAAACTGAATGAATGAGCAGTTGGTGACATGCTAACTGGGGGAAAAAAATTGCAATGCAGTTCCTGGTTTCTGTAAATTTTGAGACTATAAAATGGTAATTTTAAAGTTGCTTTTAAGAACAGTCCAAATTAAATACTGGCTTGTACCATGTGCTCTTTCTGCAAAGTGTGACTTGAACAGATTTATATAGAGGAGGTGGTTTCAGCTGATAAGATTGGAACAGAAGAGATAATTGAAAGGATATAAATGTTCAAAGGTTCTCCTACTGAAGAACTTCAACAAAATAAATAATTTACTTTAGTCCAAGGAGTGATATTTTGGAAAGACAAAGATTAAAAGTTCCACCCCTTGTAAAGCACTGCCTACACTGTTAGGGTCTGGAAATTAAGGGTTTCTTATTTTATTCTTCTTTCAGACACCTTTCCCAATAACACCTTCCTCCTTATTAAGAGAGAAGCAGACCTCTGGGAATAGGTAAATCGTTTTTCTCCTCCAAAACTGGAGTTGGAATCATTAATGACTGCTGTTGTAGGAGACTTCTCTTCATAGACAGCCCACATCCTTCCTTATGCAGCAGAATTGTAATGAGAAGAGAAACAGCATGATCTTGCAGAACTGTCATACCTGTTTTATTTCCAAGGATGAAGTAGAGCTGCAGCAAGATGAAGAGAACCTGCCATATGAAGAAGAGATTTACAAAGATTCCAGTACCTTTCTTAAGGTGAGCTCCTTTTATTGCAAAAGTGTGGTGACAGCTGACATGGTTGTGTTAAAGTATTTCTGCAATTGGTGGTATTTGAAATCATCTTTGAAGGCTGAAGTAATGAACTTGAATTCACAAGTATGAAAGTTTCCTGTGAAAGTTAGAACTGTAACTAGTGCTGACATTGACCTGACTAAAGATCTGGGTCAACTTGCAATGAGCCATAGTAATGGTGGGCCTGATTTGGAACTAAATACACAATGATGGTTTTGACTAGTGTAGCTTATAAAGGCATGTTGGGAAAAAAAACCAGCCTATGCAGTACTTGTGTATGTCCACTTAGCTCCCTGTTGCACTCACTTTTGTTCTCCAGGGTACTCAGAGCTTAAACCCACACAACGATTACTGCCAGCACTTTGTGGATACAGGACACAGGCCCCAGAACTTCATCAGAGATGTTGGTATGTCATAGTATCTGTTTGAATATAAACTAGTTTTATTTAATAGCACTACTTTTTCTTCCCCTTTTAAATTCCTTACAGTTACGGGGAAATATGTATAGATATATACTTCATAGTTTTGTCTCTTTGTAAGCGTACATATCAATATATACATTTATATGAATAATTTTATTTTTAATCATTTAGGAGGTGATTATTACCAGGGCTGCTCTTACTCTTGGTTTTACTTGAAGTTATTTAACCAGGAAGATTTTTTTCAAAACTAAGCTCTTTTAAATTCCAGGAAGTAGGTGAGTCTACTGAGCAGATCTTGGAACCTTTGGAAGTTTGAATAACTGACTTACAGCTCAGCTGCTTCCTGGACTGTATTGCCTCCAAGAATGCATGTAGCATGTAAAGTATGCAAAATACTTATGTTTATGCTTAAGTCAGATAATATTTACCAGCTAAATTATGTAGCTGCCTACAACTCGTCAGAAGGCCCAACACATTACTGAATTTAGAGGATGGTATTTTTAAGTTTATGTTTATTCTGCTGTTACTGAACTTGTTACTGAGGTCTTATTTTATTAGGACTGAATTTAATCTTTCTAAAACTAAGGTATGGTTTGGTCTTGTGTCCCAGAATGGGTGCCTGGTAGTAATTTAGTTTTTTAAAAAAGCAGGACACCTCCCTCTGCAGTTTTTTTACAATAGTTCTCTGTATTTTATCAAGTTTGTCAGGGCAAGTGTGTTGTTTATAGATGCCACCCTAAACAGGTTTCGTTTGCTTATTGAAGCAGATAGTTTTTATTCTTCTCATTTTGTGAATGCTTCTGTGAAACACATCTGGATGTTTAATATGAAACATGAAAAGTGGGCTGTTTTGACTCAGTTATGTCTTTATCTGAAAAGCCCCTGGGCTTCACATTTGTGTTCCTTGAAATAAGATGATTATGAAGATACAGCAGCCCACGTTATTTACTCTGACTTCTGAGCCACAGAAAGAATTGGGAAGGGATAGGACAGATTGTTATACGAGTATTAATACGGAAATGAAGATGTTAGCAGCAGTTGGTCTAGACCCTTTATTAGATATGAATTATGTCAAGTTGCATACTGGTTAGCACACATTTTCTACATGATGATCAAACCTCTGCTTAGGTGCTTCCTTGTAATTGGATGTGACCATACAAAGAGCAGTAGGGAAGGAGTGGTTTCAGAACACCCAGTTGTATCTTTCTGATGTTGCTGTTTGTCCTGGTTTCAGCTAGAGCAGTCATTTTTTCTCCTTCTTAGTAGCTGGTACAGTGCTGTGGTTTTGACTTTCAGCCTGGGAACAACGCTGATAACACCGATGTTTTTTGTTGTTGCTCAGTAATGTTTCCTTGACCAAGGACTTTCTCAGTCTCATGCTCTGCCAGGGAGGAGGGGAAGCCGGGAGGAAGCAGAGACAGGACACCTGACCCAAACTGGCCAAAGTGATATTCCATACCACAGCACATCATGCCCAGTATATAAACTGGGGGGAGTTACCCGGAAGGCCCAGATCGCTGCTGGGGTCAGGCTGGGTATTGGTTGGTGGGTGGTGAACCTTTGTATCCTCTCCCCTAGTTATTTCCCTTATCATTATTATTATTGGTAGCAGAAGTGGTTTTGTATTATACCTTAGTTACTGGACTGTTGTTATCTCAACCTGTGGGAGTTACATTCTTCCAGTTCTCCTCCCTATCCCTCCAGGAGCAGAGGGAGGAAGAGTGGTTCTGAGTTACCAGCTGAGCTTAAACCATGACACTGTTGGTAGAGTGGGAGAGATCTGTGGGTTTTGTCTTAGTTGGTTTATTGGTTGTTTTTCATTTTGGTGGGTTTCTTCTGTTTGTTTGTTTTTTAACAACTGCATTCATCTTGACTGAAAATTGGTTTACATCTGTTGCTTAGCTGGGGATAGTTGACTTCCGTTTCTGCTGGTCAGGAGTATTTGACTTGTACTGAATATCAGAACAGAGTTTTTAAGTTGTATCAGAAAAAGAATGAAAACTTTTGTGTTTTATGCATGTGGAATAAGAGAGAGTGAGGTTTGATACTAACAACTTGGATTTTACCAGTGTAATGCTGCTGCTGTTTGCTTTTCTCCTTGATTAGATTTATATTGGCTCCAGGATCTGCTGGTTCTTTTATTTCTTCTTAAGCAAAAGGGACCAGAAGTGAGTCTTTGCTTCATGGCCTAGTTAGCATCTAGTCTGCTCAGAAGCGTCCCCCAACTGAAGCTGTGCTTGTAACACAGCTGCTTATTATGGGGAGAGACTTTTTAGCAGGGCTTGTTGCAACAGGACGAGGGGCTATGGTTTTAAACTAAAAGAGGGGAGATTTGGGCTGGATGTGAGGAAGAAATTTCTTTACAATAAGGTAAAATACTGGCACAGGTTGCCTGAAGAGGTGGTGGATGCACCATCCCTGAAGACATTGAAGGTCAGGCTGGATGTGGTTCTGGGCAACTTGATCTAGTTGAAGAAGTCCCTGCTCATTGCAGGGGGGTTGGACTAGGGGACCTCTGAAGATCCCTTCCAACCCAAGCTATTCTATGATTGTATGCTAGGGTTGGGAGTTCAGAAGCTAGAAATAAAATTAAAATAGGCAGAGCAATGAAGCCTTGTGGGGTTTGTGGGTTTGGGTGGCGTCATGTCCTGTGTTCTTGCCTCCCACTCCCCCCATGCAATAGCACCATTTCAACTGGCAAATTTAAATGAATGTGAAAGTTTGTAAGTAACTCTATTAGTTGAACTCATACTGACTGGGAGGTGGGAATGGTACCTTTTTTGGTTTGTGCTGAGTCTACTGCTAGCAATAACCAAAACATACTGTCTCTACTTAAGTTTTGAAGGAGGAATGTAATATACTGAATCAGGTACTGGAACAGGCTGCTTAGGGAATGGTGGAATCGCCATCCCTTGAAGTGTTAAAAAATCTTGTAGTTAAGGCCCTCAGTGATACGGTTTAGTGGTGGTCTTCGCAGTGCTGGGGTGGTGATTGGACTTGATCTTAAAGGTCTTTTCCAACCTGGTTGATTCTGTGAAAAGTTTGATGGTTTGGGTTTTTCTCTTTTTTTTAAAAAAAGTTTGCTGCAGAAAACCTAATTAGGATTCTCCCTATTGCATTGTGTACCTACAAAAGATTTGAAAAGTAACATCAGAAAGCTAAGCCTAATAACCCAATAAATAAATCCACCTGTTCATGACTGATGCCTGAGTACCAAATCCCAATGTAAAGGTTGCCAAAGGGAACCAGCCATACCCCAGCAGCTGCCTTAGAAATAGTCTTCAAAGGTTAAAAAAGAGTATTTTGTAAATTAATGTGAACTAGATCTTAATATGAACTTACAGATGTAGGGGATAGCAAAATAACTTCCTCTCATCATTCTGGCACTTCGAGTTTAAATGAAAGATTGTTTCCTTCTGATAGAGGGGATTGCGAACTCCTGATCACTTTAGTGGTCTAGAGAAGATTAGGGCAGAGACACTACATTCAGTAACAATCATAATTAACTGGGTGAAGGCAGAAGTCTTTTATGAAGTACTGAACAAAAAACTGCTTTTGAAGGGTTTGGTTTGTTCTAACGGATATTAAAATGAAGCTAAGTATTAACATTGGGACCTATTCAGAATACTGGACAATGCTTAATTGATACAGATTTACTCTCTTAAGCAGTTGTTAACTTCATGTTTTCTTCTTCTTCTTAGGCTTAGCAGATAGGTTTGAAGAATACCCAAAACTTAGAGAGCTCATCAGATTGAAGGATGAGCTGATATCTAAATCTAACACTCCTCCCATGTAAGTGTTCTTGTGGAAAACGCCTTTCTTCTCCAGACCTGTTTGAAGTTAGCTGTCTGCTTTGCAAATCTCAGTCTTTTAGCACCTGCTCAGAATTTACATTTTCTATTTCTGTTTGTATACACAAATTAATCAATTGAAACTTAAGAAGAATAAAATAAGTTTGATTTTGCTAGCTCAATCTAGATGTTTCATATGGTATATAAACGGCTTTGTTTTTCCAGTGTGTGATTATTCATAGTGTCTAAAGCTTTGGTTTTTAAGATTTAGAACTGTTAGTTGATTGGACAGCAGGCTTTAATTTGGGAACTAAAAGAACACAGTATGATCGTGGATCTCATGTTACTGTAAACTGCGTGATATCAAGCTTTAAAAAACTGGCCTCTTGATGTAACACTAGTTGTTTTCCTAACAACTTTTTTTTTGTTTAATGTTCAGCCATTATCTTAGTATCCATTAATCAGATTTTACTTTGTAGTTTAAGATGAAAAAGTTTAGGCTGGCTGGAAGTGATTTGTCGTATTCACTTTGAGTTACCTCTGAGCTTTTGCTGAAGGTTAGGCACAGTATAAGCGTGCTGCGTGTTACTCCCAGTAATTTGAACTTGTCTGAATGTTGAGCCTAATGCTTTTGTTATACTGTAGTCGTAATCTATACAGAGTAAAATAGCATTACTTCATGATAGTCACAGGAAAACCTCTGAAATAGTTGTTTGAACAACTGAGACACAAACTGCTAAACGCAGCTTGCCGTTTTGAAGTTAGATATGTTTTGGCATTTAAAGTCTTAAAGCACAACAGGGGAAAAACAGTAACCAAATGCTGCCTTCTGATAATACCAAATATGCTTACAGAATAATAATCTCTTCCATTCACTTTGTTTGGAAGGGAGAGGTGGTGCTCTGCTAATTGGCTTTTTTAAGATTAAAGGTATTGAGGGGAGGGTAGTGTAATTCTTTTCATAGTGGTGCAGCAGTGAGTGGTGGGCAGGTGTGGAGGCCAGTCGTAAGAGTACATATGAGAGTGTATATAATAAAATCTGTGTGTATGGGGATTAGGCTTTTGTTATAGGGACAGAGAAATACATTTCTACTATATGAAAAGTAATCACATTTCCAGTGTTCAGAATTTTCTGAACATAACATATAGTAAGTGGCAATTCTAAAAATAGGCCACCTTGAAGCAAAACCAAAAGTCTCTTAGCCAGGCAGTGAGAGCTTGAGTCTTAAATGTTGATATTTTCTCCCCTATAGTCCATGGATGTACACAAAGTTCAGTGATTCTATACATATTATACCATCTGTGCAGGCATCTGTTTCCTGCTTGCTAAATTAGAATCTAAAAGCTGTTTATTTAGAGAAAGCCTACTTTTTAAAACCTAATGCAACAGCATCCAGCTTAGGTTAAGTGAGAACGTGTTATGCATCTCTGCTGGTAAGATGCATATGAGCTATACAGACTACACAGGAGATGCTACTCTTAACTGCTTACATGGAGGTGCTTTGTGGAGTATGATTTTCAAATGAGTATTACAGTTTGTCCAAGCAATTGATCATCTTTTGTTTAAACAGGTACTTACAAGCAGATTTGGAAGCTTTTGATATTAGGGAACTGAAGTCCAAATTTGATGTGATTCTTCTGGAACCACCACTGGAAGAATACTACCGAGAGACTGGCATTACTGCTAATGAAAAATGCTGGACCTGGGATGATGTAAGTATTTTTCTTGCTGTGAAGAAGATTTCATACACGTATTTAAGCAAAAAAATTTGAGGGGTTTTTTTTCTTTACTTTTTTTAAGAAAAAATAGTTATGTTCTTTTGTTCTGTTTTTGAAGAAAAGTCTAGATTCTTATAAAAAGTAAGTTTTATATTGTATGCATGCCTATATGTGCTTGAAAGATGGGGGCTGGTTTTTTTGTTTTTTTTGAAGAGTTTAATGAATTAAATCTACCTTTCTATTTTCCCTGAGCCTGGTTGAAAACTGAAATCTAATGATAGTGTTTTCTATTTGTTTTCTGCTACTGAAATTCAGAGTATCTTGTAAATATTCCCTCATTTCTTGAAATTCTCAGAAAGGTTTTTAAGGTATGCTTTCTAATATGCTGGTCTTCTAGTCAAAAGAGATGGGTATGCTTCAGTGACATACCTCCCTTCTCCAGAGTACCGATTGGACAGGAAATTTTTACAGTCAAACCAATTGTAATCCTGAGAAGCCTAACAAAATAGATAAACCCTGCTTGTGGATTGTTTTCCTTGTATTTATGTATTCCCTTACTGTTTAGTCATGTCAAAAGATTAGGATTTTATTTTTTCTTTTAAGTCATGTTGATTTCTCACCCCTTTTTGGGAGCAAGGAGAAATCTTAATGTGGTAAGATGTGATCTTTTCTGAGATCACTGTTGCTGCTCTTGTTTTACTGTGCTCTAGTAAACATTTAGAGGATTGAGTCAGAGTAAAGATTTTCAAGTTCCTTCTGTAGTAATGCATGGAGATGCTTGTAAAGAAGGAAACATTATATAGACATATTAATAAGTAATTGCATTCTATATCTCTGCCCTTCCATAAAGTGAGCCCTGAAAAAGCAAGGTGAAGGCTGGAGGCTATGAAGTGCTGGATGTCATCAAGCATAACAATTTGATGACATAAAAACTGCCAAGTTGTCCTGTCCTTCAAGATTGAACTGGAGAATTACTTCACTTGAGCATTGAGTAAAGAACTTGTAATCTGAAAAATAGTGGTGAATTTGCTCTGTCCTATATACCTACACTTTACTTATGGGGGGAGGGGAAACCTGAAAAGCAGAAAACCAAACCAACAAACAAACAATCAAAAAAACCCAAAACAACCCCACCCTCACAGCAGTACAGACAATCTGGAGTGGTAAGGAAGAGCAGATTAAAAAAATGTTTGTATAACGGTGTCAGGAATTCTTAAGTTCAGGCATGACAGGAATATGCAATTAATAAATACTTTTCTTTAGAGACCCTACTTGAAAGGTATGCAGGACTATGTCTGCATTAGCAGCACATTTGTCAAGTGAATAGAGGGAGGCAGTTGTTACTGAGATTTTCTTACCTGTGTTCTGTGCAATTCAGGGGAGAATGATGGTGTTGCTTTAAACTAGGTTTAGTTTGTCATTAGGCTGAAACCTACACATGCGTAACTTCAGAAGTGAATCAGTCAAACTGAAGGATCATGGAAGCAAAATAAAATTCAATCTACCTTTTAAGGAATTAATTTGGAAACAAAGGCGTTCATGCCTGTGACAAGGGACTAGGTAACTTTATCTGTACAGTTAAGGAATAAGTAGCTTCTGTATTAGCCATTCTGTTACTCGGGTAAAACAGGTGCCTGGCAGCAGAGCCCCAGGGAAAAACATTCTGTCCTAAAAGAAAAACTGGAAGTGTTTGGGGCAGGAGTCATCCTATTAGCTGGGAGTTACATCCTCTTTAGAGTGGCTTCTACTGCATTATTTGTCTTCACAATGTCTCAAAACGAAGCTTGAGTTTATGTGTTAGGAAGTTATAGATGCATCTTCTCATAATGAGTATCAGATGCTTTGCATCTTAAGTTATTTCATCCTGAATGTTACTCATTTGTCATTGTTGACCAGTGTCATGACAAATTCTTGCTGCTTTTTTCCTGAAAGGGAAAATGGAGAGAATGTCTTTGCTATGTAATAATAGGAATTGAGGTGAGATTTTTTAAGAATGTGTCTTCACAAGCTTCTTATAAGTAACCCCAGGGCTGAAGAGAAGCAGAGCACTATGGCTGTGTTACTAAATCTTTTTGCTACCAATGGAATGATAAAAGGAAGTAGAGGTTTGGGTGGGGGGAAGTCACGTGGTAGGTTGTATTTGTCCATTAAGTCTGGAATTTTCTATGCAGATAAAATTTCTATTAAAAAGAAATAGTTAAGCTGGTGATCAGCTATGTTGAAAACATGCACTTGGGTACTGATTAACTTTTACTATGTGCTTTCTGGAAAACAATTTTAAGAGGATGGCTGTGAATGGTATGCAGACTAAAATTTTTAGTAGTAGTGCTTCCTGATGGTTTTAGCTGTAATGCTTCAACACTTATTTAATATTCTTCCTGATATAATAGGAAATTTGTATTTAATTCATAAACGTTTATTACTGTTATTATTAGATAATGAAATTGGAAATTGAAGAAATTGCAGCCCCAAGGTCATTTGTGTTTCTGTGGTGCGGTTCAGGCGAGGGTCTGGATCTTGGTCGAGTGGTAAGATGATGTTTTAATTCAATTTATCAGGGACAGGCTTAGCAGTTTATTTTTATCATTGACTTTTTCTGTATAGAATCATAGAATACTTAGGGTTGGAAAGGACCTTAAGATCATCTAGTTCCAACCCCCCTGCCATGAGCAGGGACACCACACGCTAAACTGTCTCCCAAGGCTCTGTCCAGCCTGGCCTTGAACACTGCTAGGGTTGGAGCATTTGCAGCTTCCTTGGGCAACCTATTCCAGTGCCTCACCACCCTCACTGTGAAGAACTTCTTCCTTATATTCCTAAACTTCCCCTGTTTAAAGCCATTACCCCTTGTCCTACCACTACAGTCCCTAACGAAGAGTCCCTCCCCAGCATCCTTATAGGCCCCCTTCAGATATTGGAAGGCTGCTATCTCAGCTGTAGCTGCTAAGAGATGTTAAATGGATTAGATATATTTAAGTGTATCTGGCATTAACTTTTTAGATACTGTTATGTTCCAGCTAAGTTACTGTGACCGTGTGAGGAAGCATAATTCTATAGGGTCTAGAAAGCTATACTGCTGTCTTGTTCTGATGTATGCCTGTTGCCATAGCAGGTTGCCATGTTGAGTGCATTTACAATATTATTTTTTCTTAACAGAAGCCTTAATGGTTTTCTGCCAGAAATACTCATGCTATTAGAAAGAAGCTGCTGTTTCATAAAGCGAGATAAGATTGTGTGCTTACCACTGCTTGTTTTCAGAGTAGGTTTATTCTTAGTGAGCTTTGCAAAGTTTTATTCCTCTGTAAGGTCTTGGAATTTTAGGGTAATCTTTCTCTATGCCAGTTTAGCACTGCTTGTGCGTGGGATGGTGAACTAAAAATTTCCGGTTGGCTCTTGCTGTGCTGAAACATTCTTTGCTTAGTTTGAGCAGTGCTTTCTGCTAAGACAGTATAGCATTTGTATACGGACAACAGGCAGCTACTAATCTGACTGCTTTATCTGCTTTTCATTGTGAGTTTGGTTAAAGTAGCTGTTTTGGGTAGATTGATATTGGTCGTAGACACTGGAGAGTTCTTTAACACAGCAGTAGCCAAATAAATAAATGAGTTTGAGTCCTTAATGCCCCATTTCCTCACTTTCAAAGACTACACTTACAGGAGTTAAGAATAAAAAAGTCATGTAAGTTGGTTTTAGTGGTGGGTTTGTATTTTGGTTTTGTTAGGCTGGGCGTGGGTGGGTTTGGTTTGTTTTGGTGGGGTTTTTCCCCCAATATAAAACCCACAAAATAGTAGCCAAAGCTTTTTGGCTATTTATCTTCCCATTATAGAATTTTACATTGATGTGAAAAACCATCAGAGTGCAGGAGTTAGTGGAGACAGGACCAAGGCAGCTGATCACTATGTTGCTCAGACTGATTTTGATTAAGTTTAGGTGTCACTGGGTAAAAATGATCTGGGGATCCGTGCAGTGGTTAGATATTTAAGAAAACGGGGGGAGGGCAGAGAACCAACACACAGACAAGTCTATGCACATAAGCCTCTTCTTTTTTTTTTTTTTTTCCTTTTCCTTTTTTTTTTTTTTCCTTTTTTTAATTCTGAGAGGGGAGCAGCATGACAACCATAGTACAGTCCTGCCAGTAAACTGTTTAATTTATCTGTGGCAAATTTCTCTTCCAGCTATGCTTCAAGAAAAATACAGTACCTATGTGAGTGTTCGGTTTAGGTTATTTGGTGTAGTGTGAACTGTTTTATCTGTCTGAAATATTTAGTGTCTACGCAAATGGGGCTACAGAAGATGCGAGGACATTTGCTGGATTAAAACAAATAAGAACAATCCTGGAAAGACCAAGACTCTTGACCCTAAGGCTGTTTTCCAAAGAACCAAGGTAAAAGGTTTGGCTCAATTTCTTCTCTGTTCCCACCGTCTCTTTATGCTGGTAAAACACCCAGTGCTCCACAGCAGCTGGTGACACGCTTTCAGGAAGGCAGACGTGCGGACCTCAGAGTTCTGTTCTGCAGTGTACCATATATGGAAATAAATGTATTCACAGGATGAATGATGAACTTGTGTCCCATTTGACTTTAGCCAGTGTGAAGAATAGAGGTTTCATCTACATTTAATGCTGCTTGGTAGGTTTCTGTTACAGTCCACTAAATGTGGTACTCATTTGAGCCTTGCTGAAATGCAGGTAGCTGAGGAGGAATCGTAGATTGATGGACGAAGAATGAAATCCTGAGAGGGAAGGTGGAAAATACTACTTTATGTTGCAGTGTCTTTGACTTCTGGGTCGTTTTGGTTATGAGTGAATGGTAAATAAGCAGTTAGTCAGCAATACCTTTTGTGTAAGATAAAAGCTCCTTTCCAGATGAGAGAAGACTTGATGGAGGAGGAACACCTTTTGAATGAAATTAGCAGTAGAATTTGACTAAATTTGATGTCAAAATAAGTCTTTAAAACTGTAAACTATAAATGGATGTTTTCATAAAAATCACTCTGGAAGACTGACTAGTTTTCCTAAATACATGCTTGCAAGTATGTGCCCAGACCTTAAACCAGATAGAGGACTGGTAGGGACCATAGCTCAGTCACATCGCCTGACTTCCTAGACATGACAGAATTGGTCAGCTTGCTTTAATTAACGTTAAACAGTTTCGTAGGGGATTTTTGTGGAGGACATCTGTTGAAGAAGGTGCAGAGAAGAGAAAAAAAGCGTTCCGATTTAAGACTCAACTGTATGTTATTAAGAAACTTAGAAAAATGTTGGTAGGGTTAATAAAGAATTGGTTTGGGTATATGTGGGTGTAACTATGGAAGTTGTACTGAATACAGAGAATTGGCTGATGAGTTAACAATTAAAAGTGTCATTTAACCTCAGGACTCATTCTACATTCACTGATCATTCGTAAGTATTAAACATCATCAAGTCTGTCTCAGATTTGCCATTTTTTGGGAGTATAAACTTCCCTTTTAGGTACCTGAAATCTTCCTTTGACTTGCATTTACATTAATCTGAAGCCTGTTTGAAAGTGTGTTGTATTAGTTATGCAATATTTAGACATATAAATATTGTATGTTTATTACATATAGTATTGCAAGTATGTGCACTCCTAAGGAAGAGGTTAAAACTAACACAGGAGTATTGGGGAGAGTTTATGTCTTTGTTTAACGGGGGAGAATAGTTTCTGGTGTTAGAGCATTTCTCTGTTTATTGAGCAAGGATTGGGCTCAGGTCACTATTTATAATAACAAACATTGAAAATCAAGCTAGCTTATTCTGACTAAATAATCGGTTGTGCAAGATGTATTTACCAATGATCACAACAGCAAATGCTATCCTGTTACGTTTAGTTTAGGCGTCTTTCTAGGTGGATGCTTTATGCTGTGCCACCTGTTATAGAATCTAAGGTATCGATGAATGATATTCCATGTGTTAGGAAAAGAAAATGTTTTGGCTAGTTTTTCTAAAGACTGGATTTTCGAGACTTTGCTGGATGGGTAACTTGCTGAGCAGTAGTCTGCCTATTTATTTAGTTAAAACCCTTCCTAAAGATCTGGGAATGATTACATAGTCTTATCTGAAGCCTTTTTTTAAGAGCCATCTGGTGGCACTTAGTGAATCAGTGTTTTTTATGATACTGGGGGAAATGGCTCATCTGAATTTAATAATCCCAGAGGCAGTGCTCTGAAATAAATATGTAGAACCCTCTTTCCATCCCATACCAATTACGGTGATTCCTCATTTGTAGATGCTACACACTAGTCACTTAAATTGATTTACAGTATTTCCTCTGTATTTCTACAGAGGAAAGCAATGCATATCACAGCTAAAGAACATTTTAATGCTGATGGAGTGAGAGTACATTGACAGTTTCACAGAATCACAGAATAGTTAGGGTTGGAAAGGACCTTAAGATCATCCAGTTCCACCCCCCCTGCCGTGAGCAGGGACACCACACACTAAACTATGTCGCCCAAGGCTCTGTCCAGCCTGGCCTTGAACACCTCCAGGGTTGGAGCATTCACAACTTCCTTGGGCAACCTATTCCAGTGCCTCACCACCCTCACTGTAAAGAACTTCTTCCTTATCTTCCTAAGCTTCCCCTGTTTAAAGCCATTACCCCTTGTCCTACCACTACAGTCCCTAACGAAGAGTCCCTCCCCAGCATCCTTGTAGGTCCCCTTCAGATATTGGAAAGTTGCTATGAGGTCTCCACGCAGCCTTCTCTTTGATAGTGGTTTTAATTTTTTGATGCAGCCATATCTTCTAGAAAGGAATCTAAGGGTGAAAGCTACTGTTAACAGAGTTACAGTCTGAAAAAGTACATCTTACTTTCCCTGACTGGCTGTTCTGTGATTGAGAACCTTGAAAATTACATGAATAAAGTTAGGATCAGAATGCTGATACAAGTATTAATCATAATTATTAACTATTCCCTTACTCTTGCCATCACCTTGCAATCACTTTCCTTGTGGTCCTTTATTAGGTCTAACTTTGCTGTAATTAAAGAAGTCCAAATACCTTTTTGCCAGATAACTAGTCTGCTTTGTTTTCAAAGGCTGTTTTGGTAGCTCCAGTTTATTCTGTTCTTCTAGTTCATGCTTCAGACTTTTCTCTCTAGGCAGAGTAGATTCTACTCTTACACAATTTCCTTTTCTCTCCATTGCGCTAAAACCACAGGCATATGTTTTGCAGCAGTATTTGCAGCACGTGACAGGTACTCTTCTGTGTTCTGTGTGCGTAGGAGCACTGCCTCATGGGCATTAAGGGAACTGTGCGTCGCAGTACAGATGGTGACTTCATCCATGCTAATGTTGATATTGACCTCATCATCACAGAAGAGCCTGAAATCGGCAACATAGAAAAACCCGTAGAGATTTTTCACATCATCGAGCATTTCTGCCTTGGACGACGACGTCTTCATCTTTTTGGAAGGGACAGTACAATTCGGCCAGGTAACTGTTCTCTTTAGTTTTGTCAAATGCTTAAATTCTAATTTACCTTAATAACCCTCTTCTGATTTTATAAACCTCTTCCATCATCTGAGACGACTTGATGTGTTCTGATGGAAGCTGAGACAATAATGATTAATCCTCACACATGATTCTTCTGCCAGGTCTTGCACCAACTGAATAACTCTGCATTTCTGCATATGACTCCACCATGGGATTAGGATGCTGCAGAAAGCTGGATGAGCTTTCTTGGCAATTTCTCCATAGTGGATACCTAGTCAGAAGGCAGAAAATCTGCTGGGTGGAGGAATTTCCAGGTTTCCTACCCTCCAAATTCAGAAAACAAGCCTAGTGTTCAGCAACAGAGGATTGATAGTTTTCCTTACACTTTGGCAGTAGCAAAGTGATTTCTGCCCTAAATGTTCTAACCATCATGATCAAATAGCAGAAAATTTTGGCTAGAACTAAAAATCTTACATGGGTATTTTCTTAGCAAGACTGTCTGTCTTAGTGTGAATCCTCAGCTTGTGTTGCAGGAGCATCACAGAGACCTCTACTAAGTGATGTTACAATTAGGTTATAATTTCTATTATTGCTATCTTCAGGAGCAAGACCAAGTCACAAATCCAGTTTTAACACTGCTTACTGTTAAGTTTTGGTTTGTAAATACTCTTTTTTGGAAGTAAATGATTGCTCAAACACTAAGACTTTTACTCTTTTGTTTGTTCCACATCGCCTCTAATTGAAGATAAATGCAGAAATTAATAATTTTTCTACTGGAATAGGGAAATGTACAATTTGTGTATTTTAAGTTCAAATTCTGAACAATTCCTTTCTACTAAACTTTTATTTTTGGACTTAATAGTGAAGTAAACTCCACACTAACTCTAGAAATTAAGATGTCTTTATCATGTGCAAGACAGTAGCAGAAATCTCTGCTTGTAAAATTCCTGTCAGGGTCCTAAAGAGCTTTCCAGACCTGTCCTAGATGAGACAATAGATCTCAAGGGGGATACAGTTTTGGTTTATATGAAGATCTGTCAATCACAAAACTGTTGTTTGGAAAGTGTATGACAGGTATCAATTCTACCAATTTTTTCAGAAGAAAGTTCTTTGTTCACCAATATTTTTTGCTTGTTCATGCGTTTAACTCATCAGCATCAGAATTCAGTTGGGATTTCTTTTTTCCCCATGTGCCATCTGTTTACACTTCTGAGAAGCACTATTTCTTTCTCTAAACTGATTTTAAATCCCTGTGAGTTTAGTGCTGGTCCTGTTGCCAGTGTCTGAAGACTCAGTGTGTTACACTGGGTGCTGCATCTGGTGTGATAAAAAAATGCGTAGAAGTAGATGGATTAGATTGAAGGTAACCACATTTTATTTGTTGACTGATGATGTCAGTCTTAATTCTTTTGACTATTGTGTGTTTGTGTGGAAGGGGGCTGTTTTGTTGGGTAGAAAGACATTGTTCAGGTGTTACTACAGTCCCATTGTGTGTGAATTCTTACATGTTAATTTCTCACAGGGTCATGTTAGTCCAATTCAACTTTTGTGTTTTCTAAATTTGGTAGTAACCCTGGAATTGCGTTGCACACTGTAAATCCTAAACTCATCACAGATTGTGTGCTACTTCAGCTCATAATCTGAAGGAATAGGAATGTTCTTGCTTTAAATGTCTGCTTGCCACCGCCACTCAAGTCCAAGTCTGGCGGGGGAGGTGGTGCTCCAAGGGGAGGAGGAAGAGGAGGGACTTCAGCAGGCCAAGGAGAAAGGGGCAGAGAGAGGAACAGAACTAATTCATCCAGTGAAGCTGAAGTGCCCACTGAGTATGCATAAACAGGTTAATTTAACTCTTTAAGCTTTGTGTCCATATTGTGGGCTTCAGCAGAATTGTTTCTGGGTTTTCAGATACGTGTTTCCAGCATGCTGTGTGCTTGGCTGCACTGTCACAACTGGTTTCTGGAGACAAAATTACCTAATTCAAGTTTAACTGCCTTTTTTAAGAGGGGAGGAGGACGATGTTATTTTTAAAGTAGATGAATTTCCTGATCTGGTTTAGTGTGGTCCTAAAGGGGCTGGAAAACATTGTGGGTAGCGTAAGGGCAAAGAACAAATAGGAAGGACTCTTGTGAAACCTCAGCATGAATGTTCCCATAACCATGTGTAATTAAAAAAAAATAAATAAAGAAGCCTTTAAAATAATCAAACTGAAATCTTCACTTCCCAACAACCCTGCCTTTCCTAGAGGTGACCTTTTCAATTCTGTTCAGCACTGGTGCCATGTAGGTAAGTGTTTGTCCCTAGCACTTGAAAGTTCATTGACTGATTGGGAAAAAGACAAGAATGGCCTTGAAGCCTGAATTTTGTTCTTCCTTTTGTTGACTCTGGTTTTGTTTTCTAGGTTGGCTGACTGTAGGACCCACCCTTACAAACAGCAATTTCAATGCAGAAACGTATTCTTCTTACTTCACCGCTCCAAATTCCCACCTGACTGGCTGTACGGAAGAGATTGAGAGACTTCGGCCCAAGTCACCGCCACCCAAGTCCAAGTCTGACCGGGGAGGTGGTGCTCCAAGGGGAGGAGGGAGAGGAGGGACTTCAGCAGGCCGAGGGGAAAGGGGCAGAGAGAGGAACAGAACTAACTTCCGGGGTGAGAGGGGTGGCTTCAGAGGGGGACGGGGAGGTACCCACAGAGGAGGCTTTCCCGCCCGCTGATCACTGTTAGGTGATTGCTTCTTCCCCCAGTCCTGTGCCTCACCTCTGAACCTTTTTCTTGGTCTCGTTTTTGCTAAAGTGAATTATTCTGGTGACTCAAGCTAGGTGAGTTTAGAGTTGGTTTTGGTGCAAGCAGTTACAGTTAGTCTGCCTTGCAGTGACTGGCCTGGTGTGTCACCTCACCTACCTCCTGCATCCTGTAGCGAGAGCACTGTGCTCGGCCTCCTGGCAGCTTCTAGTGTCAAGAGCAGAGTGCACCATCTCTTCAAACCCCAGCTAGGACTGAGGTGAAGATACTTGCTTTTCCCTTCTGAAATGTGCAAAGCGTAGGCTTTTTTAACTGTTGTTTTCTCCAAAACATGGATTTCTCTTCCTTCTCTGGGGGTTCAGGTTTGGATTGACTTGGATTAATGTGGTGGAATGGGCATGAAATGCAGTTCTGAACTGCATGGCCGTGCCAGACTTACTCTCTTACTCACGGAAGAAGAAGTGCTGTGTCTATATTGACACTTGTTTTAACTTCTCTGAAACCAAGCAGCAAACTAAATAAATAGAATTCTATTTTTTCCTACTTGGTTTAAATTTCCCAGATTATTGCTGGGAATAGGGAACATGTTTATTTTTCATTTGTTGTGTATATGCACTCACTTTTCACATCTGTCATAGGGAGAGTGGTAATTCTGTGTAGTCGTGTGTTGTGCTTCATGAAAAACGGGAAGCTGTGCATTTATGTGTAGTCTAGCACTACACATAGGTCTGGGTTGCTGCTCAAGTAGGGATCTTCACCAAGCATCTGTTCATCATAGCCTTGTCCTTTGGTAGTTTATTGCCAAACAATTGCAATGCAAATAGTAAAAAGACCTGGCTGGAGGTCATATTGGAAATGTGAGCATGTGCTGTAAGAGCGAGCACTTCCGGAGGTGAATCTCCTGGGTAAGGAGGGCTCGGTAATCCAACTGAGTGTTGTGCTTTGCCTATGAACCCTCCATGCACTGGAAGCAGACTGCTGGTGATCAGCTCCAGAGCACAGCGTGAAGAGAAAGCGATTCACTTGGGTGTACGTACAACGAACTTCTGGTCAGTACTTCGCCAACTGAACACACCTGGCTGCTGAAGTCTCAGAGGCTTAGGTGTGGATGTTTGAAAACTGTCTTTTAGGTCTCAGTGATGTTTCTCTGTTGAAGCCTAGCTTTTAAATAACTGTCCTGTAAAGTAGTGGATTATTAAACTTGTTTATTAAAACTAATGTTGAAATACTTTTCTTAGTATTTTGTGGGTTTGTTCTCCTTGAGGTTTTGGAATTGCTAAGTTTTGCTGTAGTTTCCTCCCTGATGTCCCCTCCTTACTGCTAAAATGAAACAGTACAGTGAAACTCATCTGGTGTTTACATTTAGCATTTTCCTATGGTATGTTTTCACATCTGAAGAGTGACTGGATTTAGGTTAGGGGTTATTTGACAGGTAGAGCCCATTGAACTGTCAGTGATGTCTGTCAAAGACTACCTGGAACAGCATCCAATGGAAGTTATGTGTCACAGTTAGAAAACCTTGTGATTTTACCCTAATCATTTTCTTACTGAAGAAGTAAATAACGGAGACATGTAGGAAGGTTGCTTTTGTGCCAGTGACAAATCTTTTTCTTTTTTTCTCCATTAGTAGAAAATGTTAATTCCCATTTTGCCCTTTTAATTACTTGTCCATAGCTGATAGTTCAGGACACAGGCTACTTTTAACATAGAAGCTTAGGCTAGCTACACTGAAGAGGAGACTCAAAAGTAACTGGTTGAGATGTATATGTGTGTCACTTTGCAGAAGCTGGGATGTTGCTCAAGACTTCAGTGACTTGGGAAATCAGTTGCACATGATCTTGTATTAAAAGAAAAACCCACCAAAAAACAAACAACCAAAAAAAAAAAAAAAAAAAAAAAAAAAAACAAAAAAAACCAACAAATCAACAAACAGATAAATCCCTTTGGAGCATGCAGAGCCAGGTTTCTGATTTTTTTCCCTCAAAGCTGAAATAGCTAAGTAGTGTAAGGAAAAGAAGACCACTGCTCCAGAGGTGTTAGATGAGATCTAGCTGGCTGGGCCAGCTTCACCAGGGAAGTGTAACATATGTACTGTTAAGAAGCAACTGACTGTACTTTTTTTAATTGAGCTTAATGGACAAGGAAGTAGAACTTTGTACATATCCTTTATAAAGAAAGATATCTCCTGGTTGTAATCCGAAGGTGGTGGTGCAACAGTGATAGATTGCCTGTACAGGTAAGACAGCGGTGCACAGACTTGTTTCACCAAAAGCTTGATGTTAAGTAGTTGTGGACATGTGTGGTGGTGTATCCCCCGCTTCTCCATCCTCTGGGCTGCTCCACGATCTCAGGAATGCTTGTCAGGCCTTGGCCTTTCTGTAATGAGTTGGATGCTGAAGCATCCCTTGATAGTACCAGGAGCTTACATGGCTAAGCAGGGAGGCATGGGTCATACCAGGGACTCCTGGTACAGTGGGAAGTGAGAGGAGGGGTGATCAGTCATTCCATGACAGCCCTAGAACGCTCCTTCCCTTAATTGTAGCCTGAGTGGAGCAGGACCACTGTAATTGGAGTTTTGAAAAAATTCTAGTAATTACCCAGTCAGGTTGTGGCCAAGATGGAGATTTACTATTAAAACAACAAGCTTCACCTGCTTTGTGCATAGGAGGCATATAATTACTTGTGAAGACAGCCTAGCTTTGCAGCACCACTGTCAGCTGTAGGACCAATATCCCTGTGGTCTTCATGGAAGTATAATAGACATGACTATGATAATAATATGACTGATTCAAAGGCTTATTACTCGCATTGCTGCATGCTGATGGTATCACCTGAAAACAAGAGTCCACTGGTTGTAAATATGTAAATCATACTTTGGGTAATATTTGAACGATTCAAAGATTCCATAAAAGCAACCCAATGCTTGCTGAGAAGTGTTCTGCCCATCACATTAGCTCCTGGTAAAAACAAGACAGGAATGCTTTCTCATCTTGAAAAGATGAGTGGTTCTTTTTACATTAATAACTTGCTTATGAAGTGAAACAACAGGTGCTGCTAAGCCATGTATCTGGCAGTTACCATGGGCTTGGATAGTAAATATTGAGGGTGTAATTTAAGAACTTCCTTATGACTCCAGTTCTACTTCAGTGTACTGTTGGTACTTGAACATAACACATTGCATTCCACCAATATTGCTGTCCAGCTGGTAACTCAGAACCATGCAGCTGCTCACTCACTTCCCCCTGCTTCTTCCACCCCACTCCCAAAGGGATGGGGAAGAGAATCGAAAGAGTGCAAATCCCACAGGTGGAGGTGAGAACAGTCCAGTAACAAAGGTATAATACAAAACCACTACTTCTACCACCAGTAATAATAATGATAAGGGAAGTAACAATGGGAGAGACAATATAAAACTAAAAGGGGAAAAGGAAAAGAAAATAAACACAAATGATGCACAATACAATCCTCACCACCCAACAACTGATACCCAGCCCGACCCAAGCAGCGATCTGGGCCTTCCGGGCGACTCCCCCTAGTTTCTATACTGGGCATGACATGCTGTGGTATGGAATACCCCTTTGGCCAGGTTGGGTCAGGTGTCCTGTCTCTGCTTCCTCCTGGCTTCCCCTCCTCCCTGGCAGAGCATGAGACTGAGAAGTTCTTGATCTGGGCAAGCATTACTTAGCAACAGCTAAAAACACTGGTGTGTTACCAGCATTGTTCTCAGACTAAAACCAAAACACAGCTAAGAAGGAGAAAAATAACTGTTACAGCTGAACCCAGGACAATGTCTCACATGGAAGAATGGTAAATATAAGTCTACAGGGCATATACATCCCTGTCACTGCTGCATTATAGCACTAGGAAGCAATCTCAGACATACCAAAGTGGGTGTTTCCCCGCACTGTGTTCACACAGGGATTATCTGCTGACCTATGAAATGCATTTATAGGGGCAAGCTAAAAGCCAAGCACAACAGAAACAAAAAGTTCAGATAATTGTGGTTTAAGTTTAAAACCTTACAAGCTGTAACCTTTTCTGTCATCAATGAGAAAGAGGTCATGACTAAATACCTAGCGCAGAAAACAACAGCCCCAAGTGGATGCTCCCGTTCCTAACAGCAGATCTATTGCAGCACATCTGGGTGCTTCTGGCACTCCAGTGGTAAGAGCCTGAAGGGAGCAGGGCAGTCAGCTGACTGTGCAAGCCAGAACTTTGATTGCACGTGTACCACTTCTGTGTAAGAAATAATGAATCTTGCACACCAAATACACTTATTCAATAAAGTTTACTTGACTATCTTCTAGCAGTAAAAAATACATCTTCTGGTTCTATACTCCTGCCATATTTTGAAGCGGCTCAAATGTCAAATTTTGTCACACAAGGCCTGTTTCCAAAGATAAGTCTGCGTGTCACAACAGAAGTTCTTCCTGCTCAGGCACTGCTTCGTTTAACTGTCCTTAACACATCTTCCTTTGGGAGAATTTCATATGCTTTCTTTCAGACTTTCCCCTATTCTGCCATGTGCATAACAGAGGTGCTTGAGATACCCACTAAAAAATCTAGGTGAGTTTTTTACAGGTACAAGCAGTACCTTTATTAGCCAGCATTTCACACACACACAAACACGAAGAACATTAGTTAGCACGGAAGGCTGGGTACAAGCATATAAGGCCGGATGTCTCCACTTCCCCCGACTTCAGATTTCTGCCTGGCTATAGGAAAAGCTTTATTTATTTTTGTGGAAACTGAGGCAAAAATTAATTACCAAACCAACCTCAATTAACACAGCAATGTTGATCATTTCCCACACCACTTTACACATCCTTGTGCCTTTCTGATCAAAGTATGATAACCTAGTCATTCTTGCAACATGCTTTAAGAAAATACTCGTATGCACCAGCAGGGCTGGTACTAAACCATCCCCTGGGGGGGGGGGGGGGGGCCGCCGCGGGGGGGGGGGGGGGGGGGGGGTATTTGGTGTTCACAGGCTTTGGATTTTTTTTTTTTTTAAATCCTCATCCACTTCTAAATACAGCAAATTGGGATTTACTTCTCTTTTGTTAAGATTTGTCTCAGACTATTATTTTCTGGCTTAGACTGAAGGAAAACTATTTTGGTTTGGTCCTGACATAGGTAGGA